CCCCCGCCAAATGTATGTCTAGATTTCAAATTTCTTTCTCTGGTTAAGAATTAGCAATAATAAAAGTAAGTAGACCAAACACATCAGGAAAATAAAAAACAGAACTCTATTTCCTCACGGCTGTGGGGATAGAAGCCTATTTTCTTTGAAAAAGCCTGCTCCAATCAGGGTTAGATGCTGTGTGGTCCCTCGCCTGGCTGGCAGATGACCTCCTTAGACGTGCTGTGACTGGACCTTCTTATAAGAAAACGCTTCTGCAGGATTAGAGCACCATTCTTGAGACCTTATTTGGTATTGACTACTTCCTCAACAAGTCTGTCTCCAGCTACAGCCGCGTTGGGGGATGGACCTTAACACACGAATGTAGCTGGTGAGAGGCACAGATGAGCTACCCAGAGACCATGTGGATAAAGTACACTCTCAATTGAAGAATGATACTGTGAAAGGCCACTCTGTTGCCAGTCTAGATTCTAAACCAGCGCTCCCCATCCTAATAGATTCTGACTTTTACTCTGAAAATGTGGTAGTTTCTAATTTTTTAAGTTAAAGCATCTTTTTGTATCATTACAAAGTGACAGTGAGGATATGGGGTTTTGCACCTTGATACTGATTTTTTGTTTGTTTGTTTGTTTTTGTTTTTGTTTTTCAAGACAGGGTTTCTCTGTGTAGCTTTTCGTCTTTCCTGGAACTTGCTTTGTAGACCAGGCTGGCCTCAAACTCACAGAGATCCGCCTGGCTCTGCCTCCCGAGCGTTGGGTTTAAAGGCATGCGCCACCACCGCCCGGCCATACTAATTTTCAAAGGCAATACAACATCAACTCTTAAAACCTTAACCAGCAATAAGATCTTTAGGTCTAATGGTCTCTGTTCTAAAGAGAACAGAGGTGGTAGAGGCTGGGGTAACCGAGAAGTGGTACGTAACTGCTGGTAACAGTATTGATGAAATTGGAAGCAATATAATAATATAATATAAGCCTTATAACGGGGGACCAGAGAGAAGAGGCTGGAGGACAGAAATATTCCTGAAGTATAGTTAAAAGAATGTAATAGTCCTGAGATGGGGAGAAGCATGCCATCCAGGTTTCTGGCCCGTTTCCTGGGTGGAGAGTGGTAGCTCTCACTGAGATAAGGAACGCAGTAGGCCAAGAAGACTTTGGGTGAGGTAGAGTGAGAGATAAGCTTCCTACATCCTAAGCATACAGACAGACGCCCAGGAGTCTGTGAGAAAGGTGGGTCTAGAGATAGGGATGCTAGCGACACTGGCCCTAAGTGTGGCGGAAGACTCGAGAGCTCAGTGCCCAAGGTGCAAAGAAAAAGCAGGAGGACGCTGGGGTTCTCACGCTTTGTGTGTGTGGATGGGCGTGTGGGATGCTGTCAAGGAGACCTCAAAGGAATGGTCAGCCCAGAAGAAGCTGTAGGAAATGATGAATGCAAGTAAAGAGCTACATGTTTCAGCAAATAGAGTTTGGCCAGGCATATCAACCACTACAGAAGAGTGACTGGCACAGTCTCAAAAGATAGGGAGCCCCTGGCACTTCCACAGGACGATTTTGTTAGACCATACGAACAAAGGCCATTAAGGAGAAATTGGGGTTCCCTGTCCTGCTTGAGGATCAAGGATCTCAAACCCATTTCACCAGTGACTTGTACTTCCCTCCTTAATGTTCTGGAGCAGACTTTTCTTGAAATTAAATGTGTCTCCCTTGCACTCTATAACACGGTTGGGCTGAGAAAGGTGTATAAGGAGGAGGAGACAGGAACGGAGGCTTTCAGGCTGAGGAGTCCTAGAGGCGAGAGGTGTCTTGTTCCTTTGTCTCTCTGATTTTTCAGCATTTACTCCGATACCTGGCTCTGGGTTTTTTTTATTAAAAGAGCAATTTAAGATTTGAGCAACAATTTCCCTTATCTTGATAGCATCCAATGACATCTTAAATTACCTTTACCTTGCAATGTATCATTAGCTTCTTTCTGCAATTGCAAGATAATTAGATACTTATCAGTAGAATTCTTCACCTTCCCCCATAATCTCTGTGTGGATAACCTCTGTGCTACTAACTTGACACAAGCCAGAGACATCCAGGCAGAGGAAACTTCAACTGAGAAAATGCATCCATCAGGAAAATCTATAGGGCATTTCTTCATTAAATGATGGCTGTGACAGGTCTCAGGCCGCTGTAGGCAATGACACCCTTAACCAGGTGGTCCTGGCTGGTATAAGAAAGCAAGCTGAGCCGGGCGGTGGTGGCGCATGCCTTTAATCCCAGCCCAGTGCTGGACTATGCCTCATCCATTCTATGTCATGACGCGCCCCACCCACCCACCCACCCACAGGCACCTACTTCCTGCTTTTCTGACTTTCAGATAGAAAAGGCTTTATAGCTCACATCCCCTGAAGCCATGCTCCAATTCTGTGTGTTGTAGACCGCCGTTTTTTTCAGTTTTTCACCGCCATTATGTTGACAAGGTCCTAGGAGCTTGCAGGGGTCTCCATCCTTATATCTGAGTGACTAAGGAGGGACCAAGATAAAGGTCATGGGTGGAATCAACTGGGCTGAGAGTTCTAAATGGAACCCTGGCACACAACTGTTCCATGTCAGAACCAGTAGATCTCTCAAAACTTGAAGTGGATGAGGCAGAAGGTAGGTTATTTATTTATGGACTCTCTCTCTCTCTCTCTCTCTCTCTCTCTCTCTCTCT